AGTCACTTTAACTTAAACACACGCTATAATTCACAACGATTCACGCACTTTACTTTTGGTCACTACCGCTCGCTTGACTCAATTATCTGTCTCTATATCTCTCTATCTGCCCTTCTATCTCCGCTATATTTGTCGAGCTTATATACAATAAAAGAGGGCGCCTAGAAAAGACTAGAGTTGCCAGGAAAAACCAAGATCCTTCGAGAATTTCATGACCTGTTACCAGAGTCACGTGACTTCCGATGTCGAAACAGTATATTTGTAAGATAGGCTAAGAAATTTCACAACTTGTGTCAAAGTGAACATATTCTGTACAAGATGGTTACAGAAAAAAATAATTTATTTATTATTTTGGACTGAACTTGGCATTATTTTTACCAAATAATCGAAACGAACCTAACCAAATTATAGAATATGTTACAACAATATCATTGGTAATTGTATGGGTAGCGGGAAATGTAATGTTTTGCCATGTTAGACATGTGTCAAAGGTGATGCCGAGAAATTTAATATCATTGTTCATTTTTATTTCTGTTTCTCCTAACTTTAATTTAGTTTTCTTCGGAGTTTCCATGTGTTTTTGCAGTTTTTTTTTAAAGGCGATTGCTTGTATTTTTATTGGATTTAATATAATTCGCCATTTGTTTCACCATTCTAGAATTAAATTTAGTGATTATTGAACCCTTGCAGTTGCAATTAGTGAGTTTCTAGATATGCTCCAGACGGCTATGTCATCGATAGTGGGAGTGATATGTATATTGTTAAGTCTCTGGTCGTTAGTTAATTTTCTGTAAAAATTCTTTCCGAAGAAGCTTTAGCGATACAAGTCCTTTCTTAAATAAAACTGGTTTATTCTTTGTGAATACAACTTTATAATACACTTCATTTCCACAGTCACGCTATAATTCACAACGAACGACTCACGTGCTCGCTCGACTCAATTGTCAGTCTCTATCTCTGTCTGCAGTTCAATTACATTGTTGCTGTCACTTCTTGGCGGTCTTATATATACAAGAATACCGCAAATCTAGTAAACACTCGAGGATTCACGAACCTTCTAGAATATGACGTGTTACTAGGGTCACGTGACCCCCGCTGTCGTAACACTATGTTAAATTGGGAATATGATGTCACTTACAAATATTATGTATAGGAGTAGCGAAAAAACGGATCCTTGCGGTAATATTAAATGTTTTAGATAGATTGTTATTTACTTTGACATGGGCTTTTCTATCGACGGAAAGTTGGATATCCATCTGATCATGGTCTCATTGATATTCAGTTGTATTTGATGACATTGTGCAATACACTGTCAAATGGTTTTTAACATCTAAGAATACTCCTATGGTAGATTGATTATTATTAAACAATTTGTAGACAGATTCTGTTAATCTAGTGAGATGGTCTATTGTTTCTCTGTTCTTAATTTATGTATTTTAGAATTTTGTTAGTAGTTTGTTTGTTTTGCCAAGTAAAAGTTTGCCAAGACAGCTTAACAAACTAATGGAGCGGAAGTTATCGGGATTAGATCTGTTGTTTTGTTTTTTGGGTAATTTGTGTGTTTGTTTGTTTGAATTTATGCACAAAACTACACAATGTGCTATCTGTGCTCTGTACACCACGGGTATCGAAACCCGGTTTCTAGGGTTGTAAGGCCGCGGACATACCGCTGTGCCACTGGGGGGGGGGGGGCGTTTGTTGGGTATTACGGTGATTATTGCTTTTTTCCATACGTCCGAGTAGTAACCAGTTAAAAGTGATAAGTTGATTATGTTCATGAGGTAAATTAAAAGTAGGTCTGAAGTTTTTTTCAGATCAGTATTTCTTATCCCATCGTGACCGTGAGCCGAATTTTTGTTAGTAAATTATTGTGTGAGTTGTTGGATGGGAAACACGGAGTGAAAAGTGGTGGATTTGTGTTGATACATTGTCCGGAAAACAACAACAACCGAAACCAAAAATTTCGTGACAGGAATTTAGTTTTTCAAGGAAAGAAACTTTCCTAAACTGGGGTTTTCGGGGGATATTAGTATCCCCCTTCACCTAGTTGCAGTAATATATAGCATTCGGGTAAACGGATTAGTAACATCCTTTATGGTTGAGTTTGACGTTGACTAAATGTAACAGCCGACCAATGATATGATAGCATACAAGTCACGAAATGACGCTGTTAACTGAACAAAGAAAGTGAATTTAGTAGTTGAATTCAGGCGCACTTTCTTTGGACAGTTCTACTAGTAGCATTAGGATGTTATCGGATAATTACTTAATTTTAAGATCGTCGTGTTTAATTTGACGGAAGTCTATTCCGTGAGAGGGAGAACTATGGGACAAAGTACAGCCTAGTAAAAGCAACGGTCTTTCCGCGTGCGCAAAGTACGTACGTTGAGTCTTGTTTTTGTTTGTGCAATAGTAAAGATCGTTTTCATTTTATCATTATTGTACTGTCTCATCATTTTACTCACACTAGGGAGAATAAGTTAATGTATTGGATTCAGAATCAATCTTCTTATTTCCAGAACGCATCTGTAGTTATTTATGGATCCATCAATCTGATAACTGTCGGGGAATCGCAGGTTTTACCTGGAAATGCCACAGTTATAAGTCCATTTTGATTGAATTAGATAATATGATATTATTAAATAAGAAAATTAATTTATTATGAAGTTTAATTTTTAAAATGTTATGTTAATCCCTTATATATCCATATTACATATACAGATACCCAAATGTATATAGATTATGTTTATTACAGTCTTTCACTCTGTTTTTCTTGTTGAAATATATTATATTATGAATTATTTAATATATCTGCTTTAGTCCATTATCGAGGTTTAGCTCTTTATATCCATATTCAAAACCTACCTCATTGATTATCAGAAAAATAGTATTTAAAACGTGTTATTTCAACATCTCAGTTTTATATGCTGTTTAAATGATAAAAGCTCCAATAAATGTGATTCTCATAAGAATAAGCGACTACATTATTTTCTCTTCCGTGGTTTTCTAGGTATTATAAAATACATCTAAAAGAAACTCACAGAAAATAAATATTACATTATAAACTTAGTGTGAACCTAAAGAAAAAAATCCTGTATTGGTTTTAAATAGCCATATTCACTACTATTATCCTCATTCGAAAAAGGTAAGCGTGAAATAATCAGGTTAGTTTGACTGTAAGCCAATAGATGGCAAAACAAGAGCAACTGCCATATTTTCTTCTGTCGAATTCACCAATAAAACTCAATTCTGTCTCTACGTCACCCATGAATCTATTCGGCATTTCCTTTTGAGGTTTCAAGCAGTTGAGCCTTTGTTGGCAGGGCATTATATGTGTATTGTAGCAGTGAGTTAATAGAAGTTAATCTGCAGAATTTTCTTAACCATTAGTCTTAGCTTCTTGAATTAGTTGGTTTGCTGGAATATTTTGATTAATTTTTTGAGGAGTAATTAAAATATAGCTTGGCGAACGTATTGTGTTTCGTTAGTAGTGATGTTTGAAAAAAGGCTTTTATCTGACGCTGGGGAATTTTGTTGGGCGCCATATTGTTTTAACAGCAGAACAAGGAGTAACTGTTGCAAAACTTGTGAATTTTAATTGCTCGTGTGAAATAATTTATTTCTCCATTTTCAAACACATTGTCAAAGGATATTTACGAAGGAATGAATATAACATATAACAGATTTATTTTGAAAGCACCTTGTTTTTAATAGGTGCTGCTTGAACTTTGTGGTAAAACTACAATGCTACGTTTCCATGAATTTTTGGTAGAAAAGGTTTATCAAATAGGGTATTATCAATACATTTATTAAAATTACGTTTTTGGTAAGAGCTTATTTGAACTTTGAAGTATGTTCAAGTACTTATTGTAATCGCCTTTTGTATATATTCATAAGAATTGTATGCAACTGGAAGATGAGTGTTAATTGTTATGAATCAATTGGCAAAAAATCGTTGGGTATACTTGTATGATCCAATATATTGTTCGTGTTTTTAGGTTATTAATTATAGTTAATATATTATAGCTGTGATAGTAGACCTTACGGTAAGTTTTTCCGTGACTTTTGTTTTCTGAACTACAAGTTTTTCTCTTAATTCGGAATAAAAGCATGACATGGTTACATTTTGAGTTGTCTGACAGTTTAACAAGTAGTTCTTAAGCTCTGGAAAAATCTGAAATTTTGTCTTAATTCATAATAATAGTGGTTTGTTTTAGATCTTATTCGATAAAATGGTTGATCTAGAGACTTCTGTATTAAATATTCGTTAGTTTCTTGCAAATTGAATGGACTACTTAAGTTGAAACTTGTAAGATGTGCAAGTTGGATAAAGTTCAGCTCTGTATAGTTTCCCAAAATTTCACTTTTATGGAAATAAATTCGTTTTCAGACTGTCTCTTTCTAACAGGTTATTATATTACATTTAAGGTGTTTATTTTTAAAGTGTAATTATTTAATACACTTTCATTGTGACCAAAATAATAAAGTACATCACATGATCTGAAACAGAAGCTGAAGATATATGCGTGATTGAGAATGTTCTCAATTTTTTATTAAAAATTTTGCACACTTTGCTTGAAGTTTTAGGATCTATCGATGATATTTTAGATACTTCAATGTTTTTCGTCGCCATTGTATATAAATGGGTGAGTAAGATGGAAAGAAAATTGAATCAAATGTATTTACTTCGAGAAATAAAAATAATTATATATTACTAAAAACAAGTAATATTGTATTACAGTTTGACTATAAGGTGATGTTTAAAACAACGAATAAAAAGGAGAACAGTTTTAAAGAGTCGCGCATGATGAATCTGTATATATAAGCAGAAAATAGCGGTATCCTCATCCCTGATTGTTGTTTTACAATGAGGCTTGTGGAGCCACATTCGCACTCGGTCGCACAGCGCGAGAGGTAGTTGATAGTATAACGTCATTTGAACAGTGGCTATCGTACGTGTTGTGCGATCCCCAAACAAAATACATCGTGTATGAATTTGTCAGATGGGTTGTGTGAGAGGAAAGACACGAAGACTTAATGTGGACCCTACCGCAAGATGGTTAGAGAGACTAGACACCTCTGGATTGGAAATATACCGGATAATATTCGTGAGGAAAGGATATTGGATCATTTTAAACGGTACGTTAATGTGCACCGTCAAATTTTGGCGGATAGTTGTGCCTCGTTTAGAGGACGTGTTTTTACACTTACACTTACAACCTAACCGCTTGGTACGTAAACACTTCGTAGAGAAAGCTTAAAAAGTGGTATGTAGTGAATAACTAAATGCCATGATTTCTACGGTATTTAGAATTTAAAATGGAAATGAGATATTGCAACGATGGAATTTTTTCGTATATATTTTTGGGCTTTTTGCAGTCATATGGATTTCGTGCCGGCGTATTTCACTGCTTCAATCAGTTTATGTACTTTGTTTAAACTAAAGGATACCCGCGCAAAAAAAGGCCCTTGTGCTGAGAAGCATTTTGTGGTCAACTAATTTTAGACTGCTGTTTTATTGTACCTTTGGTAATATCATATAACTGATTACTTTGAATTTTTCTTACATTACAGTGATTTAAAATGTGCAATATTTACCCTTTTCGAATGTGTACTTGTCGTCATGAAATTTTTTTTTTACAACTCATCTACGTTTTAAGTGCAATAGAATTTCAACATAAATGACGTGACAAAAGAAGATCAATAGGTTTTCCGTGTTTGCTCGTCATTAATTTTAGCTAATTTGTATTTTTCTATAACTCGAATGCTCGTTATATTTGGCAGTAGAGACAAGCGACACAAGTTCTATAGATATTAAAGTTGCGAGATGTTTCATGGGTTTCATAAACTCGCACATTTATCTTTATTTCTATAAATTTAAAGTACACTTCCACTTCCGTAAATTAACATTTATTTTACAGCGGGTTTGCTGTAACTGTAAGACGTTTGTGTACATTTCGGGTAGACGACCTGAAAGAAGCTTTTGTATTGTGAAGTACCAGTTGGGCAAATAATACGTGTATCCCAACATTAAATAATTTGTTTATTGTATTCGAAAAGTAAGATCTATATATTATATTGGATAGCTCTATTAATACTTATTAGAAGTTAAATGTAAATATCTAAGATAGAATGAAAACGATTACGAGTTATCTCCTTCTTGAAACTGTGAAAGGAGAAATGTATTTTTTGTAATTATCGCCACGTTTTTATCAAGTTACAATCAGTTATCTCGTATATCGCGAAAAGCTTTTAAAAGACACGTTTATACCTCTACCTGCCAGTTAGAAGGATACCCTTCCCATACTTCACTGTTTTAACATTTTGGGGCAACACATAAACACTTAACTCTAAATTCATTAACTTTATCACGTTCTTCATATTTTACTGTCTGTAATTGTAATTAGGCTGTAATATCAGATCGGCCAGATGGATAAATAAAGTGAAATTTGTTCTGCTATAACGTTTTGATAATATTTCTTCATATTGGGTTAATGGCACTAAAGCTGTCAAATATAATAGGTTCATATTGATAACACTGTAAAAATATGAAAGAAGCTAATAAAACCTTTTCTAGGTTGTCAGAATATCATCGGCTACAGATATTTGTTGTACTGCTACATCGTACACGTAACGAACACAACCTATTATTAGTACTTCACCATTTGACATTGGAATGTTGGTATTAAAAACAATACTTGGGTCGTATCTTGTGCTGTATGATAAAAAAGTATTTGTTAAACTAAATTATACGCATAAAAGCATTTTATAAATGAGCTCTTAAAAACTTGTTTGGGCCATGTAAAATTCGGAAACTTTAAACTGATTTACAAAGGAAATTATCCATATAGATAGTTTAAAATGTTAATAAATATTTACAATTATTATTTCACATTGGACCAATCCATTTTTTATTTGAAACCACACGTCTAAAATGGAGAATAATATATATGCTTTGTTTGCAGTGATCCGCCACATTTTACGGATATTTTTACATTTAAAAGTATATTGTTTGACATAAAAGTATTTTAAATATAACATCGTTCCTTTTAATTTATCATTTGCAAGAAACATTTACCCCAGTGGCACAGCGGTATGTCTGCGGACTTACAACGCTAGAATCCGGGTTTCGATACCCGTGGTGGGCAGAGCACAGATAGCCCTTGTGTAGCTTTGTGCATAATTAAACAAACAAACATTTACATTAGATTTTTCAAAACTTGTGCGTAAACGAAAAAAAATAATATTATATTACCAAACATCTATTAAAATTATAAAACATAGAAGACCGAAAAATGCGAGCGCTTTCGAACTTTTACGTACTTAATTAAGTGGTGAAAAATTAAACCTTTTGATTGTCATGTATTTTTTAACTGTTTCATAAAGCTACGCGGTTTTTTTTAATATCATGAAACAAATAATGATTGTATCTTTCATTTCTCGTAGTTTACTTCAACGATGTAAACGCTCTTACTGTAATTTTTTATATATTTTTTTTAATATTGATTATTAACCATCGCAAAGCTTATTGTAATACGCACTAGAATTTGTATTTTGAATTGAACTAGTAGTCGTAGAAAACTTCAAAATGTCTAAAATCATATTCAAAAGTAGAAACGTTTACGTATGATTTTTACGTTTATTATAAATAAATAGTATTAAGTAAAAACACCTTCAGAATTTAAATAAAAATACACTGGTAGGCTAATAATTTAATCTCTTCTAAAATAACACAAGTCTAAAATAAAACTTTTTTTGTAGTTGAAGTAATGTAAATATGTGATTCTGTCGGCTGTAACTGTATTGAATTTATTTATACGCGCGCACTACGTCGTTCAGACGTTCCTTTGTTGTCTGTTTTCCTCGCCACCCATTGTTAGCCCATCATTTCCCACACTAAGTCTCTGCCTCCGGGTTTCCAGGAGTGACTAGGTGATGATAATGTGCTACCTGGATTAGGTCAGTGGTTTGAGTGTCCGACATCAACACAGAACAAAGGATATCTAATATTAATAATAACGAGTGTCTGTTTTAGATTTTGCATTAGAACTTAGTATTCACAAAGAATATCAATAATCGTAGAATATATATTAAGATTACATGAGGCATGTAGTTCATATGGTGGAGGAAAATAAATTTAAAACGTAGCTCTATTTAATATAGAAACGTCCTAATTTGTAATTTTTTAGCATACTGTTCAATGTATCCTGATTCAAGCGCAACTAAATATTTAAAATTGTTGTAAAGCATCAAAAGTTTTAATAAACACCATTATATTTTTTAATCACAATTACTGGTACTTTCACACTCGTCTAATTGTTAAAGTCAACACGAATAAATCTTTGGTTTGATTACGCCATTTTAAAAACAAAATTAGGGCTAGGGTTAAAAATATCAGTAAATACTTCGACAACTATGATAATTTTGCTCAGGGGTGAAATTCTCAAAAAAAGTAGAGGTACTTAACTGGGTGAAGTGGACCCGTTTATGAAAAAAAAAAAAACAATATGTGTAAACATAAAAAAACGACAAAGCAGCTCAAATAAGTCCCGGTACTCAATACCGGCAGAATTTCGCCCCTGGTTTTACTTAAAGCTTGTAATTGTTTATATTTATTTGGCAGATATAAAAAAAATCCGTTTTTTTTACGTATATATTTAGACATTATTTTTTTATAATTGTGGAAGTAAAACAGTTTTGGAAGCTACTGTACAAATGAGTTTCATTCTATTTACTGGTTTAAAGGTACTTATTATACATAGGTTACCTAATTTATTTGTGTCCTAGTGGTTAGCGTGCTGAACTGTTAATCCATGGTTAACATCCTTTGCCACAATATATTTGGGGCCTCAGGTGTGTTATAAGAAGGAAGATGAAATTGATTTGCATTTTGTTTTTTTAAAGAGAGAAAAAAAACTTCAAGCTTTGGGGCCTTTAAGGCTGCCACTCAAATTCTAATGTTTAATTAGCACAAGAGTTGGCGATAGGTGCTGTAGGCTAACTGCTTTCCTTCCAGCCTCACTTTAAAATTAGGGACGGCTAGCAAAGATAGCCCTTGTTTTAGCTTTGCACGAATATCCAATGCGATATAAACAAACCTAAACTTATCTTTTAAAGTATGTGGTCTCTAGATCTTACCTTCTGTGAGGAAGGCATATTATCGGTACTACATACGATTATCCCGAAGGAATAGTCGGTGCGTGCTTTGAGCGTTCCACAAAAAATTTGTCTTTTCTAGAAGTACGTAAAAAACAAAACAAGAAAGGATAATATGGGAGATGAATCGGGTTTTCTCAGCGTAAAATCTTGTGAAATGGGAATGATAATAGCATTTCAACTTCTGTTATGACTATTCATTTAATAGAAATGTCCTAACAAATGTACAAATCTTTAGAACCTGTGAAGATATAGCTGCACACATTTTAATTAATACAATATACAAGTATTTTTAAGTTACTGTTCAAACCCATAAACGTTTCGTTTTTAAAATATTAAAAATCTTTTTTTTTTGTTAGTGCATTAATGTGGCAAACATTTTATTATATTTTCCCAACTATTTAAACTATGTAGGCTTAGAAAGCTGTACGACGCTAATACTGGCAAGACACTTAAAACTTTACTTAATAATAACTGAACTTTAATGGGCCAGAGAAGAGTATTGGGAAATATTTTGTATATAATTTAGTACAATTTAAACAAATCCACTGTTTTAGTTTGTTTCTTTGCATATCGAGAGAAGGGTCGTTAGAAGTGTTGTTATACTCGTGTAGAAAAGACTGGGGGAAACTAGATGCAGTTTGCATGAATGTTTAGCCAGGCAGCTCTTTGACCCGCCTACTTCGGGTGTCATATGCTAATACTAGATTGGTCATGCCAGAATAAGCGGTTTGTCGCTCCGCCCACAACGATGTCTGAACAGTGAGTGGCTAGTAATTTTATTTTTTGTGGTAGTTACTTTTTTAGAAACTTTAAAAATGTTTTTGCTCTTTTAATACACGAATCGCGGAATATATCATACTCTAAATATACATACACACAGACTATATTTTATACGTTAGTTACCAAGTTAATAAATAATTATGCCGTCTTCAGTGTTGCAAGTTTTCATTTAGTGTTATTGGTAATAAAAGCGTGATTTA